ACACACACGGAAGCTGAGCTTTGCAGCAAGTGTAATCATTTTGTGTTTGGCCACATGACTGCTCCCAACTCCCATTATATCAGCTACACATTTTTTGACATGGAAACAACACAAAATTTCTGCACTCTTTTGTGAGGGGGAAAAATGCCATCTAATTAGACCACATGTGCAGAGAAGCATCTGGCTCTGAGCACAGTAGTTTACAGAGCTCCTTGAGTTGTCCTGGAGACAAGCACATGCCCTGCTCCGAGCTGGAACTCTGGGGCACGGATCCAGATGCACTTCTAACATCTTCTGACAGAGAGCAGATGGGCAGATATTTGCTGGGCCAAAAATGCCAACTCTGCTCCCCTCCAGACCCACATGACCTCAATGATAATTTTTATCTTGTAGAAGTCCCAGAACCTCAGACTTTTCTCCCCTAGGAAATGGAACAAAACTTCTGATTTGACTCAGAAGAATCCACAAATTTCAATCCCATTTATGTAACACTTATAGGAACACTAACAATTGACAAAACATTATCCTAATACTTGAAAAATTACTCATTTTATGCTTTACTCTAGCATCTAATTCAGATTGCATTCATGGAAAAAAGCACAATTTTCTGTGAACCACACAGTGTATTGTTACGCCTGGGCTGGTGACACTTGATTCTGTTTTAATTATTAATAAAGTGAAACAAACTTTGCACTGCATATACATTTACTGTGGTGACCTCACAGCTTTGACACCCTATTTTCAGTTTCTTAATATTCTTTCAACTTATTAATATTTTTTTTACTGTTCCATATTTCTTTTTAACTTTAATGATCTAGTTCAAATCAGCTCAATTCTTTCAACTTATTAATATTTTTTTTACTGATCTAGTTCAAATCAGCTCTGTCATCTTCTAATAACATCTTAAAGGAAACAAAGTTGACTAAAACATGACAATCTCACAACTTTTGCTGAAAAGCTCTATGACTCCACACAGGCCTTGCAGAGGCCACATGATACTTTGTTAATTTTAGAAGATTAATTTCTGGGGAAAAAAATAAAATTCCCTGGCTCAAACTCCCTCAGAAGGAATCACAACTTGTGACTATAGTTGCCTGCAGACTCTCAGCATCCTACAGCCCACGATTTTCTGTGCAGTTGCTTCCCTTGCTGCAGGAAAAGGCCAGATGCTGGCAGTGCGCCACAGATAAGCTTGGAACAACAGCACAACACTCACCACCTGCACACTTAATCTCCAAGCAAGCTGACTCCTTCACAGGGCTGGGTTATGTTCTTTCCAGTGCCACAAAGCACCTATACTATGGACGCTAGGCAGGTACTTCCAGAGCAGGTTATTTCCACAGCAGGTTATTTCCTGCTCAAGACTCAAGAAAGCTGGCTACTGTGGAATAAGTTACTAAATAACCACCAAAGTATTTGCCCTGAGAGGTTAGCATTTTGAAATCTGCCTAGTAAAAAAATAAGAACTGACTTAAACTGCTTTTTGAGTTAATTTGATGTACTACACAGGCATAATCACCTTGATCAAAATGCACACGCAAAACTGTAATACACCTGTCTTAGCATTAAAACAAGTAAAAACCAACCACATTATCAATTTTCAAGAAGTTGAAACCCCAGAATGTAGTAGATACTTAGGAAGAATTCCTGCAGCAAAGTGTCACACCAGAACACTTGATTAGCTCCGGTTTTGTCTGCTACATTGATTACTACATCTGTATTTTTCCTTATTTTCATCTTAGCAGTACAAAATTACATTGCTTCAAATGCAAAAGTTGCTCATTTAAGGAATGAAACTTGCCTAAGAGTGTTCTTAGCTTTAGTAATGCAGTATTTGACATTCAACAGCAATTTAAACTAATTTTTCAGGGTTAAGCAAAAAACTCAGAAACTTTTAAAATCATTGCTGTCACTTACAAAAACCCACACAAACAACACACCAACTTTATTAAGCGTAACATTTGCAAGTACTTAACATTCATACCCTATATAAATACTTTCAAAGTTTAAAAACAAACCCTAAAGTCCTAAAGAGTTAATATTTTGTACTGTGGTCACTGTAAATAAGCACAATTTCAGCTAAGCAATATTGCTGTCAGAGACACAAGGCTTTGCAGGTGTGGGCAATAATTAAAGGTTTCAGCACATCTACCTGGGTGAAGTATTTTTGCCTCCTATTCCAGGGAGGAAGCCCTCTCTGTGGAGAGCAGAAGAGCTCATTAATGAGGCTAATTAGGTGTAAAGGGGGTAGAGTCTGGCATCAGCTGCAGCTTATAGTAGATAATCATTAAGCTCTGTAATCTCTACCCCAGAACAGCAGATGATCATGTTCCTAGGTGACTGATGTTGCTAAGAAAATTTCCAGCACCTGAGTACCTGACCAAATACTTTTTAGTGAGGCTAAAAATTCCCTTAACCCTCCATGTGCCAGACAGTGGAGACAACATCATTTCTTCTCTGATCAATTTCCTAACAATGGATATCCAAAGAGATTTGAACTTGGCATGAGGCCTACAGTGTGATTTATTTCAGAATTTAAAAAAATTTAAAAAATCAATGCCATCAACAGTATGTGGAAAGGAAGGCCAGTAAGTAACGGTTGGTGGAGCAACACGCAGGAAGAGTACAGATATGAAGAATAATGAAAATACTGATACCTCCTAAAGGTTTGTTAGTTCTTCTAATTTCCTTGCATAAAGTGGTGAGGATAGCTACAATACCACAGGGATGAAAGCCTTGTTAATAAATATGTAAAATAAGGATTTCGTTGTACTCATATAATTCGAAACGAGGAAAAGGACAATTTCCATGGAGAGAGAATACATGTAATCAGAGCTCAGTCTGCAACTTGTTTTATAAAATTAATTGTAAAAATGGCAAACTATCCCAGCACCTGAACATGAATTTTTTAGTTCATCAGGCAGAACAGACCCTTCACTGGCAACCTGCTACTGTCCTTTTTTCCTCTCCAATTGAAGCAGCAAATTTGAAATAAAAAAATACTTAAATTCAAATTCAAATGAAATAGAATATTTTTTTCTCCTGTAATTATTTTACTGTCCAATGATATGGCTTGCAGTAGACCCTTGTGAATGAACACTAAAGCAGAATCTCTTAAGCACCTTAGTTACAACTCTTGGATTATTAAAAGTTGTACATTTTACAAGGTGCATTTTCATACTGACCAAGAAAGTAAGCTGCAATTTTGTATAGGTCACCAGTTTGCAAATGTGATTAAATCAGCATATTTGGCTGATCCTTTTTGTCACTGGAATGGAAAAAGCCACCTCTGTTTCCTCTGTTTCTGTTTACTAACTAAAATGTTTAAGGATTAAAAAGTAAAATGCCTTGCAAAACCAGAAAGATGAGTAAGTACCACTCAGGTTATAAAGGCTGAAGTGTATTTAGTACAAACTCCCTTGTCTCCATGTTACCTGTGGACCTGGAGATGCTCAGATTAAATAACACGAGCTGCTCAGAGGTGGCACTGGCTCTCATTATAATCAGGGATGTGGATGCACACATCAAGATAAACTAAACTTGTAATCCAAGACTCCTCTTAACATCAACAGAAAAAAATCTCCAATAATAACTAGCACCTTCTTTTACAATACAGAAGTCAGTTGAATTGGATTATAAAAATGCCTTGTAGCCAGCACTGTGTTACTTTTAACAATTCTGTAAATACATCATAAAGAGAAAACCGCAGCAGTTAACACAGGTTTTTATAAAAGCCTTTAGATAAGCCCCTTTTTATAGTACTGAACACACTGTATATTCAGCTCCTTCTACTCCAGAGTGACTTGTGCACAGGAAGCTTTCAGATGAGTATAGAAACTGCTTAACACAGAAGGTGCAGCACAGAAACATCATCTCATCTGAAAGCTAACTATTTCTGAAACACCTCAGAATGCCTGAAATGGAGATGGTAGGGAAGAGCCTTGTCCACTCAGCATTTGAAACAAATTCTTGATTGTCTTTTTTTACTTTATGACAAGTTAAGTAATTCTCTAGCAACATCTCATTTCCAGTGGTCGATACTCAAATATAGGATAAAGGGAAAAAAACAACACAGTCTTAGAGCACAAGGGCCATAACTGATCACATGAAAAGTCCATCTGCCTGCTGTTGTGTATCCAATGTTGTTGTAAGTAGAAAGACAAAAGTAGAAAGCCTGAATGTTATTTCTCCCCTCAGTTTCTATCAGATCGAGAACTTCATCTCAGGGAATTTTTTGAGTCTGCTGTTGCTTGTGTATTAAATATAAGCAAATAGAAGGTTCTTTCAAGTATCTCTCCAATCTTCCCCAAAACTGATACAAACTCCACAGTCTCATCTGACAAAGTGCCTGGCAAGATCACTACCTACTGTAGAAAGAATAGCTCATTCTCATGGATCTCAAACCTTTGCTATTAAAACCTCACTTGATTGCCTGTGGGTTTTTTTGTACTGGAAGAGACAATGAGAAGTCACTCCCTATTCTGCTCCTTCAAATTGTCAGGGAGAGCTTTTCCTGTAAGTAATATTACAAAATTGTCTGACATTGACAGTATCTTCAGTATCCAAATAACCAGATTAGATATTTTATAGGTGAAAATGTGCAATTATGTCTGTAAGCAAGAGGTAATTTTGTTTAGCAATCAAACTAAGTACATACAAGCACATGAATGAAACAGAAGAATGGACAAAACAGAACTGTACTGCATTTTAGTCAGTAGAAACAAACTTTGTTTCCCTGAAGTCTAACCAACATAATCATCTAAGTCCCAAAGTTGGTCTGCACAGACAAGAAAAGCTGTTCAAAGGCGTGATTCCAAGATTTGGCACTATTTCTGCATTGTTTTAATGTTCCTGACAAGTGCTCCATTGTTTCTTAGCCATGTACACACTTCAATTCAGTAATTAGCTGTCAGAGCAGGGCCAACAGCAACTAAGTATTGTCTGCTCAAATCTTATTAATGAAATGCAATCCACTCAAATGTCCTGAATGCATATCTGTAATAATCTGTTAGAGAGGCTGATGACATCAGCAATCTTCAGCTTCTGATCAGGGCATTATCATCAAGCATGCTAATCCATTATTTCTTAGGGATCTGACAACCAATTAATATTACAGAGCTTCCTATACAGCAATAAGGATTGATGAACCAATGCTGGTTTTATTTTTTTAAGCATAAAGTCACTTTTCAGACTCTAAGAGACCAAAGTAAAAGCTGTGCATAACATTTGTGAATACAACACTGTTAAAGACAGAAAAGCAAGAACTGCAGGTTGCAGCATTGCAAAAGTAGTTTTTGTATCAAAAGATTCAGCACCTGTATCTTGGAACCTAAATGTAGAATCCTCAGTGTACACACAACATTGAGCGCAAAATGTGCCCTTGTGACCAAAAGGGTCACAGGTATCCTGGGGTGCATTATGAAAAAAGTCTGTCCAGCAGGTCTATGAAGTTTTCCTCCCCCTCTACTCTGCCCTGGTGAGACCACACCTGGAGCACTGTATCCAGTTTTGGGCTCCCCAGTTCAAGAGAGACATGGACCTACTGGAAAAAGCCCAACAGAGAGCTATGAGGATAATTAAGGGACTTGAGCATCTCTCCTATGAAGAAAGGCTGAGATCATTTGGGCTGTTTGATCTTGAGAAGGTTGAGAGGAGATCTTATTAAAGTCTAAAAATATCTGAAGGGTGGGTGTCAAGAGGAAAGGGCCAATCTCTTTTTGGTGGTGCCCAGTAATAGGACAAAGAGCAATGGAAGCTAGAACAGAGGAAGTTTAATCTCAACATGAGGAGAAACTTCTTTACTGTGAGGGTGACAGAGCACTGGAACAGGAGGCCCAGAGAGGTTGTGGAGTCTTTCTCTGGGGACTTACAAAACCTGCCTGGACACATTTCTGTGTGATCTGCCCAGGTGTGACAGGGGCCTTGGACCAGGTGATCTCTAGAGGTCCCTTCCAACTCCTAACATTCTATGATTCTATGAAATAAAAAACAAGATCTTTATTATATACATCAGTTTTTAAGACTTCTTATATGACTACTAAAATGAATGTTCCCAAAGAATTAAAAATGCAATTGATGACTTCTGGTTATAAACTGATCCTTGTCACTCAGGTCACCATGCTATTTTCCCCATTCTCTGTTTCATGCTTTTTGTCATCAAAGATTTTTCTAAGAACAGAATTTGGTCAAGATTAAAAGCAAGAAAAACATGTAAGAGAAGTATCCTATGGGTATAATAAGTCTTTGGAAAACTTTCATGTCTGTTCTGACGGCAAAATTGCTATTAAAATTTAATTAAAATTGAGCACAATAAGCTATGACAAGATAACGGACATGAAACGTAGCTTTAGGGCAGAACAAGGATATCTAGAAATCTGGCTGGACGTGATGTTTTATTTTTGGTTATGTTTGGCAACTATTCTTGAGATTTCTGAAACACATCTTAACTAAAAAAATCTACAGAAATTCACAGAAGATAAAAGAGCAGCACTGCATTTCACTTATCTCAGGATCTGTAACATATGCCAAAGTAAGCTTTAGGACTCTGGTACCATCTATTCCTTCATTTCATTTATGTTCACACCCACATCCAAGAACACTCTTTTTCAACTAAAAAGCCCTGTAAACCTCTCCTAAACGATTGAGTATTTTGTGACTTATTTGTAAATAAAAATAATTTATTTCCTCACACAGGTAGAAATTCCTTGAGTAACATCTACCTCCATAGTTGAAGGTAACAATCAAATCTGGTGTCACACAGACCTGATGCAAAACTAGTCAAAAGCCTTGACAATGACTGACTTAGGGAAATCAACAGCCCTTAATGGGACACAGCTTCTTTGCCCACCCTAGGATCTCATTTTAAGAAAGTGGGAATGCAATTTATTCGACATGTAAAGGAGAACACAATTAAGTGACATTTGGAAGACAACACAGACTCCAAACATTAGCTTAAAACCGGCAAACGAGAGGAACACAATACTTGTATGTTTTTACAATTTTGATCAAGAAGCCCTCCCTATTAACTGGAAAGCCACTGCTCCAAAACAATATACATATTTATAGCTCCACAGATATATTTGGTGAAAATATTTACATACCTGTTAGATCTAAAAATTATTTACCTTAAGCACGAATCTCCTTTATTAGATTCAGCTTCTGTAACAATTTAAAAGAACCCATCATCTTCTGAACTATGCTGGTAAGAGGCTTTTAATTACAGGTACTACACTGAGAAAGTATAAACCACACAGCCAAACAACACTATTATTCAACAGAGACCCTAAGTCATCTCATATGATTTCACTACCAGAGACACAACCATTATTGAAAATCATTTGAGTTTTACGCAAAAAATGAAGGGACAGCATTCACATTCTGTGACTGTATTCAAGAGTGTAGTATTAAGATCTTCTTGTATGTAAAAGAAAGTATCTTTAGCTAAAAGTGTTCTTCATTTTTCACCTATTATTAGTGGAGAATATATAATAATTTATTAGTTGATACATGGAAGATGGAACTTTACCTACACAAGTACAGACAGATCCTGAAGAAACGCAAACTAACCACATTTGTAATCCTTACAAATTGCTTTCATTTTCACTACCAATCCGAAGAAAAAATGTTCCAAGAGATACAGATTTTAAGTACTGCTTGGAGAACTTCACCAAAAATAGTCCTTCAATACATCCTTTTTTTCACTGATGACCAGGAGAAGACAATGTGCACGTATCATTCACAGCTCTTGAGGTGCATTCAGAGCAAATCCATTTCACCTTCATTTGGACATTACTTTTAAGAACCTAGTGTAAATTACTATCTCTGAGTAACAATGCCAAATCGGATGCTTGAAGTGAGTAACATCAATAACAAGTTTTATGCTTTTAGAATCAACAGTATTTCTGTATGTATATATAAAGCAGGTATATAGTAACTCACATGAGATCTGCTATAAAATTTCTTAC